AAATACTTCAGTATTTCTTTGTAAATTGTTTTTGTCTAAACCAGTGAGAAATGGGCCAAATGTATGACCTCAAGTTCTGCCTCTTCATGTTCGTGGAGGCCTAGGACAGGTTGTCTATGGGTACTGCCCTTCTCTGGAGATCCAGTCTTGAATTTAGAAAGAGAAGCACATTTAATTCCCAAGCTCTTCTGAGATATTTCTTACCTGCACAGGCAGGTTTTGTTTGTTATGTGTGAAGACAGAGACGTATAGGTGACTTTCTGAACCGTCAAAATGCAAAGGCGTCTAAGTTGGGCAGGATTCAACAGTAAGTACCCACTGGGAGGCTTCCACAAGGGGATGCTTTTGTAGATTCCCCAGATCTTGTTGGTAATTTGGGGTGGTTGTCTGTAGTTGGATGGTGGAAGAGAAACCATGTCGTCTTCCTCCACAGAATGTCCTCCTGTTGCTGTGTGGAGCCTCTGAGTTCCTCTGGAGCTCAGACAATGACATGCTACTCTGCTAGGAAGGAGAGGGGAGAGGCGCTCTTTTTCCTCAGTGTACACATACTCAGGTCAGGAGTTCTCAGGGTCCAGGATTCAGGATATGGCCAGGTACCTAAAAGAAAAACCTTATATTAGATATTGGATGAGGCTGGCAGAAAGATACATTCACCACCCTAGACCTATGGCCTTTCAGATAATAACTGATTTATTTTTGATGGAATTCAGGACCTAATGAGGCATCAATAATGACCCGTTTCTTCCCATGTGTCTTACTGTGGAAGAACTCACCGGGGTCTCCTTGAGAAGCCCTGTTTGCAGGGATTGGTTTGTCCTAGCTGCTCTGCTACTGTCCCATAAACAGGCTCTAGGATCAAGAAGGAAACGCAGTTTTACCAACATGTCTGTTTCTAGACGCTGTGTTTCCTGCACCCAGCTCACTGAACACTTGCCTGGATGAGACAGGATGCACATACAATGAAGATGAGCTTTGTCTCAGAACATATCCAGCAGAACCTGCAGATCTGAGGAAAGAAAGGATGTCAATGAGAGGTCTCAGGTTGGCCTCTGAGACTACAAGACCCAGGCTCTTACCACACTAGTCATCCTATCTGTGTCAATGACCTGGGAGGAATTTAAACAGTCCCGACCAGTCAGCCACTGTCCAAAAGTGCAAGCTACCCAGCATCACTTGGACTCTCTTTATTCCACTTGGAAGTGAGTATTACTGATCAGCTTTGTGGTATCATGTGAAAAGATCTAGGTACAAAAAGAATATATTGTCTGTACCTGTTCCTGCTGCCTCCAGGAGGCAAGCAGGGGGGAAAAGGGGGTGTTAATTGTGTGATCCTGATCATAAGGTGACTTCTCTCATGTAACTATCGAAAGGCCACAACATGCTCCCTGCAGTGACCAGTGATATAAAAAGTTTACATTAAACTCACCTGGCTTCTTAGGCACCAACTCTGATTCTTAAGGATCACATTCTTAGAGACGATCATTACAAGGGCTTGGAGTTCTGTTCCGCATGTGCTGACTCCTGAGAGATTCTATGCCTGGCCACAGTATCCAAGACTCCCTTCCACAGGCCCTGGTTTCAGTTAAGTGCATCAGGGTGAGACATTCCTTAATGGTCACTCACTGACATACAGACAAGCTGTTGTCTTGAGGAGCAAGGGGGTCATTGTCTCTTGGCTGCTTTCCCTTGCTAGGTTGTGTGCATCCCCATTCCCCAGTCTCTGGAGCCCAACAGAGACTAAGTCACTGGTCAGTGACAGAATGGATGTCACAA